CTGTCTGTCTGTCTGTCTGTCTGTCTGTCTGTCTGTCTGTCTGTCTGTCTGTCTGTCTGTCTGTCTGTCTGTGTGTGTTTTATCTGATCCGGATGGTTACTAATTCCTTTTCTTTATGGCGCTCTTGACCGGGAACACCATGGGTGTTACAAAGTTGACTAAATCATCCAAAATTCAATGAAAGTGGTGATCAGCCATTTGACATATTCAAATGTCTACTGTGAAGGATATCATAAAGCCTTAATGCAGTCGAATGTAAAACTAAAAAGTTATGATCGATGAAAGTAGTAAATCGCTCAGATTTGACCCGAAGACAACAGGAGGGTTAAAGGTATCAAGCAAACTTTATTTAAACATATATTTAATAAAGAAGAGGTTATATTTAAAGTTGCTTAAGAGAAGAAAAGAAGAGTGGTTACAGGGACAAAGAGCCTGAGAAGAAGACAATATAGAAACAAGCAGCATTAGGTGTGCAAACCTACTTATAAAAAAGTATAAAATCTGAGGAAAATATAAGTAAATATGACAGAATTTAGACCTTTGGTTATTGTTAGTATTCTCTATTTCAAAAGCACAACCAATTTACAAAGAAGAGAACAATCTAACACTGATTATAAAAAGAAGAAACACCTTTTTATCGGTTTATTTTTCACTATCCTAATATCTTTGGGATTCTATCATGTTCAAATGTATGCAAATAAAACAAAACCAAGTAAAGTCTGGTAGGATTTTATTTTGAAGGCACTGACTGGATCTTGTGCATGTTATTTTGTCCTTCTTGACATTCCCTTGATTTCCCTGAACGCAGCTGCTGGTTTGGCTCGTGCAGCAGTGTCTTTATATGAACACTCTCTGTCTGTCAGTGAACTTACTGCGTGTTTTCTGTCCCTGCAGCTCACAACAGATCCACAAACAACAGCTTCACACTTCTATCAGCCTCTCTCCCACAGCTGGACAGCTGTTTGTGGAACAAGAGGTAAGAATATTTCCATATTTATAAATACTTATTGGGTAACATCATGCGACGTGCAGCTCTGCAAACAGGACATCATGCTGAAGTCTCAACTGTCCCTCTGATGTGTTAATAATATTTAGACTGCATGCAACAAGTAGGAGGCCTGTGACTGCCTGTATCAAAAGTAGTCAAACTGGTTACCTGTGACAGAATGCAGGAAATCACTACTTGGACAATGAGGTGTTATTTAATTGTATACTTATAATAATACTTAGCTGGAAATAATCAGCTTCTTGAAGACTTTGTATATAAATGATATCAGCAAAAGGCCTGACTGCAAATGTAAGACCAGGGATCATGTGGAATATAATTCAATTGTGCAGGCAGTTAGCTGCTTATAATATAAGTATTTCACCACAATAATCTTCTAAAACATGCATTTTTACATCTACTATAATCTTAAAATATGCACATAACCATATTTGTGTACCCTTGTGAATCCAATATCTGATGTGTTTCTATTTGTGGGTCTTTAATGTGGTCTGAGAATCAGGCTTTTTAATGTTTAACTATCCTAATGTTAATATTAGCCTACTTCAAAAAGCACTTATCTTTTTGTAAACATGCGGCTGCTATCGTAGGGACTCCCCTGGTTTGAACCCTGGATCTGAACCACGTTTTCCAGTTAAATCAATTATTTATCCCACCAAAGTGCTCTAGTCAAACAAGAGATTGCATATGTTATACTTCCTTTGGATAGACTAAAACTGAAGTAAAGTTCGCACAAACCTGTTTCTATTTAGAGATATGTTTTTGCAATTTGTCATTTGATTACTCTGTGAGTGTGATTTCAACGTGTTGAAGTGTGGTGAAATGCAGGGCTTCTAAAGGTTGGGAAATGAAAGAAGTTTTTAATAGTGTTTTAAACTTTTAAGATGTTGTACTGGGTTGAATGCCTGGCTTTTACATTGTTAGAAGGAAATTGTTTATCGCTGCCATTCAGAAGAAATTCAAATCAAAAGCACTGTCAAATTCATTCTAACCTGTCTGTAAAATCACAAAGAAAATGTTTCTGTGGTAGCAGCACTTTAATTGGTTTTCTTTTTTATTAAACAAGCTTAGAGAGAAGACATTACAGTCAAGGTTGTCATCTTTTTTTAGATGAATAGAAAACGTATAAGTGGAGGTTACTGTCATTGCCTTTATTGTGAGTGCTACTCAGCATTTACTCAAGATTACAGTTTTTCATTTTTAAAAACAACAGTAATATACCCGACACAACTTCCACCGTTTATAAAGTATTTTTAATTACCCAGATCTTCACATATATTTCAGACCAAACATTTCTTCAGAAAGAGTTCATGACCTCGGTGTTGTGACATTCAAAAGGCATTTGCTGATATTGTGATGTTGTCAGATAGGTGTTGATTCAGCTCTGGTTATTTGGATACTGTTTTTTAGTTTCTGACGTATTTGATTATGATGCATTGAGGTGGTAAAAACATTAAACATATTTTATAATACAGCAATTTAGTAAATGATTAGTTGATTCAATTCTTTCTGGTGAAACACACATTCAGGAACCATCATATCAAATATCATGCGGCTTTTTTATACAACATTAAATATGTATTAAGCATGACATGAACACATGAATCTCTTGCTGTCACCTTGAGGTTTTTCTGCAGCGGGGCGACCAATTCTATGAGATTTTTCACATTCCCTGGCGCTAACCACCACTCGTACTCCCTCCCTGTGTAAAGTAAGCTACGTCTCTTTCTGCAGAGCCGTTTAGCATCCGTTTCCGCCTGATTTTAGGGAGGCAGTGAGGATTTGGATGGGAAAACGACATGGCCTTGAGCTTTTGTTAGAAGGCATGCCTCTCTGGCTAATGACCAGGAACCGTTCTTTCCCTTCACATTTCGCTTTATTTGGCTTTGATCTTTGGCCTTATGTTGGAGGAGATGCATGTTTGGTTCATGTGTGTTTGTGAGATTTCTTTGTGTGCAGGCATTCGTTTGTAGCTAAATGAATCTGCCCTTAAAAAAACTAAACGTTTTAACTGCATCTTTTTATAAAAAACCTCTGTAGAAATTGTCTCATATTTACAGCATGCAAACTGCAGTGACTGGACCCAGGTTAGCTACGGCTAGCTGGTGAGGTAGCCTTAGCCAACGTTAAACCTCCAACTTTTCTTTTTTCCTACGATTTAAAAATGTATTTTTGATGCTTGTTGTTAGTAATTGAGTTTCTATCCCACATACCTGAGACAGTAGCTTAATCAAATTATAATGGAGGGGAAAAAAGTAACTGAATGCTAACTAGCCTAGCTTAGATCAGAAGCGCTAGCTGCTTACCGCCTCCGGAAAAATGTGGTTAAGATACCTTGCATATTTAAATATATTTAGTAACATTTAGAGTTAATAGACAAGGGTGCTCGTTCAAATAGAAAAGAGGGATCTGATAAAACAACAAATTAGTCTGTTTGTTGATGTGTGTTTTCTGTAGATTGCTAAAATCACGATGTGCATTATAAAGTAAAAATACGTTTTAGGCGTTATGAAAGGTCCGTGACATTGGTTATACTCGGCATATAAAAAACTGTTATTTTCATTGTTTCTTTAATGGAGCAAAATGTTTATTCTTCAGCATCTGTGTGACAGGATGAGCAGCGTTGTAGAGGAAATGTGGTAGTTTTTCCTTTTTAAATGAGCTGCCAGCGGCTGGAGATTGATACAGTAAGGAGGTTTCAAGGCAAGGTCAGCGCTTCAAAGGAAACAACAACTTTTCCACATCTGCTTTTACCCTTTTAATCGTTATGAAGCAACTAAATCTTTCCACAATCGGTTTTATAATCTCTTAAATTATCTCATTTGTTTTAGTAGTCTGCTCATTGGCTTCAGTGACAAGGTCATTGGAAACTCCATATCAGCAGTCTTTACTTTTTTAATAACCTTTAGGTTAGGTCTTATTTCTGTTGTATTATTGGTGGTAGGGCTGCATGTGTTGATAAGCCAGTGCATTACTTTATAATATCAATCATTCCCCATGAGTCGGGGCCGAAACAGATCAGCTGGCAGGCTAGATTATTAAACCTCAAACGGAGAATTGCTTCAACTCTTTGATATCGTGGAAAGTCATCAGTCTAGCTCTCAGACATGATAAACTCTAAGAAGACGAGGGTAAAGCCATCTCCCCGCTGCCAAGAAACTCTTGTGTTATCATCCAGAAATAGGTCATTTGTAAATGTCATTTAAAAAAACAAATATTCAGTTGCCTTTGAGCTGCTGTTACAGATTAGAGTAATGCTTTGTTTGTTATTACGTGTAGGCATCTGAATCCACAATCATGCACCAGGGACACAAGTCTAGTCGCTATATATATTCAGTATCTTAAAGAGGCCCTTATGCTTTTTGGAGTTTTCTCTTTTCTGTAGTGTTTCATATAGGTGCATGTTAAGCATCCCAAAGTTCAGAGGAAGTTTCTCACATGTATATCGTTAACATTAAAAACCTTAACACAGTTGCTTCAGCAGATGCAATACAGTATGTAGTAACATTTAAGAATGTAGTTGTGTTTGTAGATGCTTAATACTTCTTTTGTATTCACCACTTTATTTGTCAGGTTCAAGACATTACTACATTACATTACACTTAATTAAAGTGACACTATTCAAAGCAACTTACAATAAGTGCAAGGATTCAAATTCAGAACAGCAGCCATAACCCTAAAACACATTAGCTTCACATATCAATTTAAGTGCTGGTGCATTAACTTTAAACAAGCGAAACCATTTAAAGTCCAACATACAGAAATTACCTTTTTTTAGATTTTAATGGGGTAATCAAGTGTGTGTTAGATACAGTAGGCATGTGTGCCTCTGCTATTGGAGAAAAATGCATTAGAAATCTTTAACTTATAGGGTTTCTCAAGTGAAATAGGATTGTTGTCTCCTTCCATGTAAGTGCGTAGTGACACATTATGTGTCCACAATGAAGCATGGGATACAATAAAAAATGTATTTCTCACTTGTTTTCAAAACATCAATCAAGGTACAATAATGAAAGAGCCTGAACACAATGTGTCCATACAGATTCCAGTTATATCTGATATACAGTAGCTTGTCATAACTTTCACGTACAATAACTCAAATAGTAGCTGGAGAAATAAAAACCTGACGACGAGAGTAATGATCAGCACACCTAAATAACTCCTTCTCCCCAAATGTTTCCACAGCTGTAAGAGTGGTTTCTCCGATAACATTTTAATGTGTTATCATAAAAAAATAAGGATTTATTGTTTTTTTGTTGTATCCAATGTAATGAAAGTTCAGCTGTGCCCTGCTGCGGCTTCGCAGTTTTATTTCTGCAGTGCTCATTTTACGCTCTACACAGCACGAACTGCGGCTTCTCTTACGGATTATTAGGTTTGTTGGCGAGACGAACCTAAAGTGTCTCTCAGCCGTTTGGGAAGATTACCAGAGCCGTGTTCTTCTGGGTGAATGATGACTTTAAGAAGTGAGCCGAGTGCCAGGCAGGGGGAGACAATGTGTACCAACTATGACTGAAGACAGACTGCTGCAGAACAGGAATGATTAACTTATCTGGTGTCGTAAGAGTAAACCAACATGTGTGTGTGCCTCTGATTGTGTGTGTGTGTGTGTTTTGTATTTATTGATCTACCATCTGTCTGTCTAAAGAACATTATAAATTCTGCCGTTGTATTTCCGCTTGTCACTTTTCAGACTCTGAATCTTTTTAAAAGGAGTCAAACTCCACCTTGAAGCTGTGGTATTTGAATGCAACTGGAAGCCTGGATTTTCACTTGTATCCATATCCTTAATGTTGCATCAAAATTAGATTTTGATTACATTTGATGACATGTTTTCCTTTAAGGTATTGACCGTAGAAAGCCAGAACAATATATATTTAATGAACATTGAGAATCATTTTCTTTTTATTAAATTACATGTTGTTGATGGGGTTTGATTGAATGTGTTTAATATAGTGTATGAAAGAAAA